AATGGTAGTCACGATGGATAACGGAATGAAAACGAGGCCAATAAAAATCAACCGAAGAGTAAGACAGGGAGACACCATATCTCCAAAACTATTTACTGCCGCACTTGAAGACATCTTTAAATCACTAAATTGGGAACCGAAGGGACTATCGATAAACGGAAAGTATTTAAACCATCTAAGATATGCAGATGACGTAGTACTAATAGCCGACAGCTGGAAAGAACTGAAGACGATGATCGATGAGTTTCATACGGAATTCATAAAAAAAGGACTGAAAATGAATCTGAGTAAAACTAACCTAATGTCGAATTAAGATGATCAACCGACGATAACCATCCAAGGAACAAAAGTGGAACATGTAGAAGAATACATATATCTGGGTCAGAATATCAAGGTAAACAAAGAAAAACAAACTACCGAAATAAGCAGACGAGTAAGAATGGGATGGGCCGCATTTGGAAAACTCTCATACATACTGAAATACAAAAAGTTACCCCAAAACCTTCTAACCAAAGTGTTCGATTCTTGTATCCTTTCCGTTCTCACTTACGGAGCTCAAACCTGGACATTCACAAAAAAAAAACATGGACAAGATTCGAAAGACTCAGCGAGCCATGAAACGACAGATGCTTGGTATCTCACTAATAGATCGGCAAACGAACAAAGCAATCCGGAACAAAACAAAAATAAAGGACGCCGCGAAACAAGCAGCTAAATTAAAATGGAAATGGGCTGGACACAACGAACATCTCGAAGATGGCAGATGGAACACAGAAGTGGGAAACTGGCGACCGTACGATGCGAAGAGACTAAGAGGAAGACCTCAAATGCGCTGGAGCGACGATATCAAAAGAGTCGCAGGACCAATGTGGAAACGCCTAGCACACAACAGGGATAAATGGCGAGAAATGGGAGAGGCCTTTATTCGACAATTCGGATAGAAAAAGGGCTATAAAAAAAGCATTATACAATTCCTGCTCATTTTGATTGCGGGCTTAATTTTCGTTGAGCAAAGCCTGATTTTGCTGAACTAGCAGCGCTTTGTTTGAAGTAAACTGCTGCATATACCCATCCATTTTAATATTTTGGTTATTATATTCTCATTTGCACAAATGCTTAATGATTTAACAAATAAACTCATGGACAAAAATATCGAGTATTTTGGAATTTTTCAATTCTCTTTGTGTAGCGTCTATTATTTCAAAATAATTTTGGCTGATTTTACTCATAAGGCTGATATACTCAATTAGTTTAAAATATTTTGATGTTTATTTTGACGATTATTCAGTGTTTAGTATCATTCGTGCATTTTATCATAAAAAACCTTCTTTACGTAAATGAAAAAAAAGGGAAAAAATCATAGTTATTTCATTATTTTTAGTTTAATCTATTAAGTTTGATTAAATATTGTTTTGATTCAAGTAAATTTAAAACAAATATGCTACCAATTCGACACTGCGATGAAGCCCAAGCAGCACAGATTGACATTTTGTACGAGGAAGTATATACACAATAAAATATCGCACGGCCTCTCAGGAGAAGTCAATCTACAGTTTCGAATATTTTAAAAAGGTACCATGAGACAGGCAATTTTCTACAAAGGCCTGGTCAAGGACGTTCAAGGTGCACAACCGCAATTGATGACCATTTTTTGGTTCTTAATTCTACAAGAAATCGCTAATTAACATCGATGAACCTCAGAAATGAGCTTTTACAGACAAGTTATTGTGAGCTCAAAAACAGTTACACGAAGATTAAAAAAAGCAGACTTAGAGCCTAGACGTCCTGCAAAAGTTTCACGTCTTTTCCAAAATCATAAAGCTGGTCGTTTAGAATTTGTAAGAAGACATATTCATTGGATTATCAACAACTGGAACAATGTTCTTTTCACTGATGAGACTAGAATCCTATAATATAAGCCAGATGGTCAAAACCACGTCTACAGATGAGTTGGAGAACGATTCGCCACCTGCAATCTTACTCAGACCGTTAGTTTTGGAAGTGGTAGCATAATGCTTTGGGGAGGTATTAATTGGGAGGGACGCACCGCACCGCACTTGTGGAAGTGATTGGACGAATGACGGGTGACACTTTGGTTCAAAATATTCTACAAGATCTTGTTTTGCCATATGTTGGTTACGTTGAATGTGACAGATTCATGTTAATGCACGCTCGATCATATGCTGCTGCCATAGTAAGTAAATATCTTGATGAGATCCAAATTCAAAGATTGTATTGGTGACCATTTAGTCCGGATTTAAATCCAATATAGTACATGTGGGATCAGCTAAAACGCCGCATACGACAAAGAAATCCCGTTCCAAATACGATAGAACAACTTCAGCTTGCTGCACAGGATGAATGGAATGCTATTTACCAAAGGTATGTTCAAAATTTACTTGCAAGCATGCCAAGAAGGATGCAAGCAGTAATAGAAGCTAGAGGGGGGAGTACTCGAAGCATTATAAAATTCCTGCTCATTTTGATTGCAAGCTTAATTTTCGTTGAACAAAGCCTGATTTTGCTGAACTAGCAGCGCTTTGTTTGAAGTAAACTGCTGCATATACCCATCCATTTTAATATTTTGGTTATTATATTCTCATTTGCACAAAGGCTTAATGATTTAACAAATAAACTCATGGATAAAAATATCGAATATTTTGAAATTTTTCAACTCTTTTTGTATAGCCTTTATTATTTCAAAATAATTTTGTCTGATTTTACTCATAAGGCTGATATACTCAATTAGTTTGAAATATTTTAACTTTTATTTTGACGATTATTCAGCGTTTAGTCACAGAATAATAAACAATTAGAATGCCCACTCTCCATGGAAAATTAAGTACGCGCATCTACTTCGCGCAGACGTTCCGCCATGTTTTAAGGGGAACCAGTGTTGTTTATGTGGGGTGCATAGGAAAATTAACCCGGTTTAATTGACTTCCGGCAATCATAGACATACTATACAATTATATTAACATTGTTAAGTATAATAACATAAATATAATATAAATAAACATGAATATAAACAATTACATAACCTCACAAATCATATGTCTGTGTTATGTGTTTCCTTCTAAAACATGGCGCGCGTGCTGAAAAACTTCAAAGGCGCCATCTGAGAGTGGGCATTCTGATTATTTATTCTTCTGTGGTTTAGTGTCATTCGTGCATTTTATCATAAAAAACCTTCTTTACGTAAAGGAAAAAAAAAGGGAAAAAATCATAGTAATTTGATTATTTTTAGTTTAATCTAGTAAGTTTGATTAAATATTGTTTTGATTCAAGTAAATTTAAAACAAATATGCTACCAATTCGACACTGCGATGAAGTCCAAGCAGCACAGATTGACATTTTGTACGGGGAAGTATAAACACAAAAAAATATCGCACGGCGTCTCAGAAGAAGTCAATCTACAGTTTCGAATATTTTAAAAAGGTACGATGAGACAGGCAATGACTGGTACAAAGACCTGGTCAAGGACGTTCAAGGTGCACAACCGCAATTGATGACCATCTTTTGGTTCTTAATTCTACAAGAAACCGCTAATTAACACCGATAAACCTCAGAAATGATCTTCTAAATGTCAGACAAGTTATTGTGAGCTCAAAAACAGTTACACGAAGATTAAAAAAAGCAGACTTAGAGCCTAGACGTCCTGCAAAAGTTTCACGTCTTTTCCAAAATCATAAAGCTCGTCGTTTAGAATTTGTAAGAAGACATATTCATTGGATTATCAACAACTGGAACAATGTTCTTTTCACTGATGAGACTAGAATCCTATAATATAAGCCAGATGGTCAAAACCACGTCTACAGATGAGTTGGAGAACGATTCGCCACCTGAAATCTTACTCAGACCGTTAGTTTTAAAGGTGGTAGCATAATGCTTTGGGAAGGTATTAATTGGGAGGGACGCACCGCACTTGTGGAAGTGATTGGACGAATGACGGGTGACACTTACGTTCAAAATATTCCACAAGATCATGTTTTGCCATATGTTGGTTACGTTGGATGTGACAGATTCATGTTAATGCACGGTAATGCTCGACCATATGCTGCTGCCATAGTAAGTAAATATCTTGATGAGATCAAAATTCAAAGAGTGTATTGGTGACCATTTAGTCCGGATTTAAATCCAATATAGTACATGTCGGATCAGCTAAAACGCCGCATACGACAAAGAAATCCCGTTCCCAATACGATAGAACAACTTCAGCTTGCTGCACAGGATAAATGGAATGCTATTTACCAAGGGTATGTTCAAAATTTACTTGCAAGCATGCCAAGAAGGATGCAAGCAGTAATAAAAGCTAGAGGGGGGAATACTCGTTATTGAACATGCACTTGTTTCAATTAAAAAGACTTGTTTAACCAATTTAAGTTAGCATTTAAGTTTAGAATAAAAACATCTTGTTTACCTAGCATAAAGCATTTTTGTTTTTCGCAATTTTTTTGCATAAAAATTTAAAATTGTTCATTAAACATTGTTAAAATAAATTCTTTTTCACAATAAACGACTTGATTGACCAGCATTTATTTTCAAAAAAAGAAAAAAAAATTGAAAATTCCAAAATATTCGATATTTTTGTCCATAAGTGTATTTATCAAATATTTTATTACTTACTCGGACTAAAAGGGACTACTAATATTAGAAAAATGGTAAATATGGCAACGTTGCAAGCGTTCGATATAAGTATTCGATATAAGTATTCGATATTTTTGTCCATGAGTGTACACAGACTAAAAGGGACTAATAATATTAGAAAAATGGTAAATCTGGCAACGTTGCAAGCATTAAATTTAAAATTTTCACCTTACACAATAGGCGTATCCCGGGTTTGTACAATTCGGACCATCTATTTAAGAGATAATTAGACGTTTACAAACTTTTGGTCCACTCTGTATATATATCATTAAAAATGATTATGAATGTATTTTTTACAATAATTGTCGTATTATTTCCTGAAATGATATATATTAAAAAATATTAGTACTTACCATAACGTTAAAAATATGTCCGATAAAGAAACCAAAACTTGTGTTCCAACGAAACTTAGGGCCAGTATCAAAGTTTTGCACAAATTTCCTCCCGCCTTCAAATAATTTCCATAAACTCTCCAAGACACTCCACCAGATCCAATTGTTTCCTTTTGTTGATCGATAGATATATAATCTTCTTCTTCGTAATTGATCGAAGTAACAGATTCAGATTTTGACAGTTTCCTGTCATGCTCCAGTTGATCCATTTCAGTTGCGGTGGCTAATAATTTTGTAAAGGCGTTATCACCATTTTTTAAGTTTTCAAAAGTACCGGAAGCTCGAATTCGACCATCATCGATTAAGTATATAAACTTAGCTCTATATAAATATTGTAATTGATGTGTTACTAACACCACACATTTTTTCCTAAGATAGTTACAAATGCACCTATTAAATATTTGTTTACCAACTTGTGTATCTACTGCAGATAAGGGATCATCAAGCAGATATATATCTGCTTCCTTGTAAATAGCTCTGGCTAGATTGATTCTAGCTCTTTGTCCACCACTTAAAGACGTACCTCTCTCCCCAATAAGGGTTCTGTCACCATGCGGAAATAATTTTAAGTCTTTTTCTAGAGCACACACTCTTAAAACTTCATAATATTTCTTTTCGTTGTAAGTTTCTCCAAAGAGAATATTTTGACGAACACTGGATGCAAATACCCAGGGTTCTTGTGATGCAAAGGAAACAGTTCCAGTTACTTTTACAGTGCCCTCTAACGGTTTCAGTTCTTTCAAAATAACTTGTAGGAGGGTTGATTTTCCTGCACCCACTGGACCTACTAAGGCTACCAGTTGATTTGATCTGGCTTCAAAGTTGATTTCTTCTATTGTGTTTTCTGGATGTTTTTTCACCCATTTTACAGCTGCGTTCTTTATTTTAATACCTATAGGCCTTACTTCAATGACATCTGGCTTGTTTTTTTGTAGAAGCTCGTTATTGTTGATTTGTTTAAGCATTGGTGTATATTTATCATCTAGTTCTTCATACAATAAGAACTTTTGTATCCTGGATATGGATACTAATGTCTCAGCAAACTGGGTCATGGCTTGGGGAAACTGTAAAGTGATTATAGCTCTAACGTATGTATAATATGACGTTACTGTAAAGGCATATGATGCCGTGAGAACGTTTCCTGATAATATGTATGTTAAGATGCACACGAGAATAGCGGCTCGTGATAGTGCGATGTTGAAGGTTATCGTCAGAGCCTTTATTATTGAGGTATGTCTTATTTGGTCAATTTCCTTCCTACAAAAAAAGTTTATATTTATAAAGAATATACGAATTAAAATAATTACATATCATCAGTGTATACATTTTCTTGTACATTAGAGGGAACTTACAAAGAATAACAACTCATAATACGAATTAAAATAATATCTTGTCAACGTTTACATTTGGATTAGAAATGCATATCTTCAGCATAGATTAAACAGCCAGGAACGTCACTTTTAAAATATTGTGTTACTGTTACAGATAATTAAAGATAACTTGGAAACGACCATCACCAATCCAGAAGACATAACTGCGACATGGAAACAATGTTGTGAAATGTTGTTTCATATAGACCATGAAGACGTGAATCCAGAAGAAATAAATGACGAAAAGGAACCAAATATTTTAAAATCGGAAATAGAAACCACAATAAAAATATCCCAAATTGGAAAATCTCAAGGAGAAGACGGAATCACAGCAGAAGCACTTAAAGAAATGGGAGACATAGGAATTAAAGTAATGTTCAAACTGTGTAATGAAATCTGTAACACAGGACAATGGCCAATTGATTGGTATAAGCTTACTTTTATTACGCTTATGCTATGTTTTATGCTAAAACTTTTTTTTAATTATACATCGCAGAATATACAAGCTATGCGAAGAGAGAACACAAGACACACAGTTTGGATTCATGAAAGGCGTAGGTGCGAGTGAAGCACTGTTTAGTCTACCGGTATTATTCCAAAGATGCAGAGATATGACTTGCGATATCTACACCTGCTTTGTGGACTACCAAAAAGCATTGGACAGAGTTTAAGACCGAAAAATAATTAATGTTCTAACAAAAGCCCAAATAGATGATAAAGACCGGCGTATAATACAACATTTATACTGGAAGCAATCAGCTACAATAAGAACAAATTTTGGAAATGAACCGACAGAAGCGATCCAGATTCTGCGAGGCGTTAGACAAGGATATATACTTTCACCTATATTATTCAACCTATATTCAGACGAAATATTCATTGAAGCTTTGGAATATTGCGAACAGGGAATCCTTTTAAATGGAGAACGCCTAAACAACATCCGCTATGCAGATGACTCCGTTATTTTTGCAGACTGTTTAAACAGTACAGCAACTAATAAACAAAGTTAATAAAGTAAGTGAAACATTTGGACTGCAAGTAAACATCTTAACGAGACGTCCAACTGCTTATCAAGAATACACCATTGGACCGAGCAAAACAGTTTAGGTACTAATCTTGGAACAATGGTAAACGAACAAATACTTACTTTCTGATGAATTCAATCAATTTGGCGAATGGTTTTTCCCATGTATACATTTTAATAACCTGGATTCCTGAGATAATTTCGTTCATCAGTCTTATTCTTTCGTCAGTCTTTAAAGCTGTTTTTAATCTAAATTGCGACGTTAATTTCGCCATGTAAACTAAAACAAATAAAAATTAGATGTAGATGTAGATTTATTAATATGTAAAATTTCTAGAAATGAATGCATTAAAAAAAAGTACATTTTCTGCAGCCGTCTCGAAGCATCTACAACGGGGCAGGTTTTTGCACTTATTGTGGTATTTAAGTATCTTTGATTAATCATTGGGCATCAAGTGGCAAGAATAAAGGTTGAACAAGAACTGTCGGATGAAATAAATATAAAAATAGGAGTGAGACAAGGCTGTATATTGTCGCCTTTACTTTTAACTTATATTCGGAGGAAATATTTAAGGAAGCCTTAATGAAGACAACCGAAGGTATTATTGTGAATGGAGTAACCGTCATCAATATTAGATATGCCGACGATACCTTAGTCCTTGCCAATTGCGGAGAAGACCTTCAAAATCTAATGAACAAAATAAAACAGACTTGTGCTCAGTATGGATTAAAGCTCAACGTTAAGAAAACTAAATATATGATAGTTAGCAAACAAAATTATATACATGATGACGGTATAAAAGTCGGAGATGCCACACTGCACAGAGTAGAGATACTCGTGTATCTCGGCAGTATCGGTATCTCGTGTATCTCGGCATCAATGAGGGCTGGGATCCAACCGCAGAAATTAAAAGCCGAATAGAACAAGCCCAAGCTGCCTTTGTAAAAATGAGAAACGTACTTTGCAGTCACGATCTTAGCATTGATCTTAGAGTTCGTATGATATCCTGCTACATCTTTCCTGTCCTGCTGTATGGAGTAGAAGCGTGGACCCTAACTGAGGCTATGCTTAAACGCTTGACAGCCTTTGAGATGTGGGTATACAGACGACTACTGAAAATAAGCTGGGTCGACAGAGTTAGAAATGAGGAGGTCCTTAGACGGCTGAACCAAACAACACAACTGGTCAATTTAATAAAGAAACGCAAGCTGGAATACTTCAAGCAAATCTTCCTAAAGGTGTTAAAAGAGCTTCTGGCTTTTTCAATACGAGTTTTTATTTCGTAACTGTGATCCCAATTATCCTTAATAATGCTGCACAAATAGCATCTTTTTCTACTCTTTCTAACGATGTATTGCCTAAATTTGGTCGTTTATGTTGGTGTTCTTACTAATGGTCATTATTTTTGTCTTTTTGTAATTTATTTTTAGGATATATTTGTTACATGTTTCTACAAAGTTATCCATAATCCATAATAATGAGACTAACAAGGCTTGGTTTCAGTAAAGTGAAGCACCGGCTCTTAACCCTCGAGCGGGCGCGCCCGTGTATTTTGTACACGTCCAATAGAAAAAGTCGTCTAAAAATAGAAGTGTCGTCAATCTGGCGATATCGTCGCGTCTATTCGTCCAGTAGAGATCTGTCGTTCGAATAGTTGAGTAATATTTTTTGTTGCAGCTGAGTTTTGTGAGAATTCTTAGAAATACGAGAGTGTGACGGTTTTGTGTACATAATACATGGCGCGCCTTTTAGTGTAAGTATTTTATCCATTAAATATTTTACTTTATAAAAAGTTGTAATTCGAAATTAAAGTCAAATTAATTTTAGTTTTACTTTATTTTAGGTTGAACAGGATATTGTAACATAATTAAGAAGGAATATAACTGCTACGCTGAGAGAATATCATGTAAGAATTTAGTTGCATTGTTATATTATTTCTGTGTTACTTTTTTTTATTTTTGCAGGGCTAGAAAGAAGTTTTTAACTGATGTTGAGTTATATAAAATTCTTAATGAAGACCCAAAAACAGAAACTAGTGAAATAGAATATTCCGATGAATCTGAGACAGAAGAAGAAATTATACACCATGATGACCACAATTCTGAATCTGAACAAGAACAGAATGACCACGACAGAGCCAGTATCTTCGAGGATAATACTGCAGTAAGTACGACTGTTTTCGAATATTTTCAAGGTAAAGATAAAAAAAGTGCATGGTGTAAGACTCCGCTGTCGTCGCAATCAAAAATTAAAAAGAAAAATATTATCAAAATACTTCCAGGGCCAAAGGCAGTGGCTTCAAAAGTGACCTCAGAACTTTCAGCGTTTGAAAAAATTATAGATTCTGATATATTAGAGAACATCGTACAATTTACTAATTTGTACATTGATAGTAAAAAAGAATCTGTTCAATATAAAAAAGAACGAGTTATGAAATATACTTCAAAAAATGAAATAATGGCGTTACTGGGAGTGCTTTACCTCCTAGGCACTAAAAAGGCTAACCATACTAACGTACTTTGGTCATCTGATGGAACATGTATAGAAATTCTTAGAGCTGTAATGAGTTACAAAAGATTTTTATTTTTGTTACGTTCAATGCACTTTGATGACAAAACCACAAGACATGAACGGAAAATATATGACAAACTTGCACCAATTAGAAAAATATTGGACGCATTTGTTAGTAACTGTACAAATTCCTATGATCTTGGTGAATTTGTTACAATAGACGAAAAACTAGAGGGATTCAGAGGACGTTGTAGTAAACTACAATGTAGTAGTAGAAACTACAATGTAGTTTTATCCAGTATTTACCAAATAAACCAGCAAAATACGGTATCAAGCTGTTCATTTTGGGCGATGCACAAACTTACTTTGTTGGAAATTTAGAGGTTTATTGTGGACGGCAACCTGAGGGGCCTTAGGCTGTATCAAACTCTCTCAGTGATATTGTAGATAGGCTTATTGATTATATAAAATGTTCAAATCGCAATTTGACAACCGATAATTGGTATACCAGTTATCCTTTAGCTATTTCCCTTTTGGAAAATAAAATAACTACAATTGGCACTTTGAGAAAAAACAAAAGGGAAATACCTATTGAATTTTTACCCCAAAAACAAAAAGAAGTGGGAACATCACTCTTTGGATTCCAGAAAAATGTCACTTTGGTTTCATTTGTTCCAAAAAAAAGTAAGTCGGTCATACATTTATCCACGACGCATGACACTGCCACCGTAGACGTCGAAACTAAAAAACTAGAAATTATTTTAGATTATAATGCCACAAAAGGCGGTGTGGATATTATTGACCAAATGTGTGCCAATAAAACAAATCCCAAATTATGTCTCCGAATTTTTCTAAAGAATTTAAGCTTGAGTTTAATGAAAGTACATCTTTCAGAAAAAGTGACAATGCGATATTTTCCTCAGGATATTGAAAGAAGAAGTGAAGAACCTACTAGAACAGAAGTGCAAAGCTCTAGAAAACGTGGACGTTGTGCAATATGTCCAGGCTCAAAAAATTCCAGCACAACAGTTAGATGTGGGCTATGTAGAATATTTGTATATAAAATGCATTCAAAAACCACAATTACCTGCGTAAAATGTAAGAACAATGAATGGCAGCAATCAGAAGAAATCAAGTGAAGTAACCCGTAGGTACATGTTTTATGTTTATTATTTTATGTAACAATAAACTATTTTTGTAAATCGTGGTTGTTATTTTGTTAAAACGCACTAAATTTGGTAAAATCAACTAAAATATGTTTTGTGTAGAAAATACACAGCGCGCCCGGTTATGAAACGTTAGTCGGTGCGCCTGCGGTAGGGTTAATATTCGAGGAGTCGGCACATTGCTTGATGAAATATTTAGCGATTTATGGATAGCTAATAAAGGTCCGTTTCTCTGACCACCAAGATCTAAACAATGGTTTACTGTAAGTAATTGTACCAGAACTGTACGCTTTACATAATAATGAGACTAACAAGGCTTGGTTTCAGTAAAGTGGAGCACCGGCTCATAATATTCGAGGAGTAGGCACATTGCTTGATGAATAAGATAGCTCATAAAGGTCCGTTTCTCTGACCACCAAGATCAAAACAATGGTTACTGTTAGATTACTATGTTTGGGTATATATTAAAAATAAGGTATTCTCCAAACCTATCACTTCTAAGGAAAATATGATAAATAAAATCCTTTATGTTTTTAACGAAATATATCGAGAATCAATATCAGGAGCTACTAATGAAAATCTGATTAAAATAGTTCATAAATGTTTGAAAAATGATGGGCAACATTTTAAACATTTGCCGTTTTTAGGCCAATTTTGATAGCAGCCCGTATAATTAAAAAGGCAACTTTACACTATGTATTTATTAAGTTCCTAAGTAATTTAATTTTTTATTCAAGTTACATTAAAGAATATTGAACTTTATATATATATATATATATATATATATATATATATATATATATATATATATATATATATATATATCGTAGAAAAGTGTAATTTTCATTTAAAACCATTAGAGTTCAAAAACAGTTAACAATAGGTATAGGAAAGTAGTAACAAAAAATATTATTCCGGTATAACCGGAAATAGAAAATAGATAAAGATATTTTCATTAAACAGTTTACTTTTCAAAACGTCTTAAATCCAATTTTCATGATTCAGTTATATTTTGTTCTCGAGATATTTCTGTAAGATGAGACGATTTAAAATACATGTCCTTTTATTTATATATTAATTGTTGTATGTATATTGTGATATTTATTTACTTACCTTGTGCAGGAACAAAGCACAATAAGAACATCATTCCAGACAAACCAGTTAGACCAGTTTCCTTATAAAGTAAAATAGCACAAACGACTCCAACACAAGGTGATAACCAAAGATAATGGATATGTTGGCCACTAAAGTCGAATCTTCCCACATCGTTCGATAATAAATTTACCATCTGACCGACAGTGGTTTGTGATAAAGCTGTTTTACTTAGTTTTAGGGCTTTTCTGTATATTAGAGCACATGCTGCTACTCTTATTTTCATTCCTAAAACCATAACTTTTAACTGATAATGGTGGATGCTCACTACTTGAGCAAATGTGACAATAATTAAAGTAATGGCACAAACCACAATATTATCGCTTTTGACTCCATCTTGGAAGTATGAGACCAGCTTTGATATCAAGAATGGTTGAGCTATTCTGGAAATAGAAGAAAATTATTTAAATGTGTATGTAGACAAAGTTAATTTTTAAGTACAGCTCTTTACTGTCGTTCAGTATGCAGCTTCCAATTATTAGTTCTGTGATAAGAAGGCATAACTTGATATGTTGACATTTTAACAAAATTAAGTTATCAACATCGCTGTGTTCGTCTGAGCGAGATCTACAAAATGGTATAGCTTGATAATTCGAATTCCTAATAATACCAGAGATGTAAGGCATGCCCACACCTGATATGTCATAAGTTGACATTACAGAAGAGGTAATAACTTGGTAAGTTAACATAACAATGTACGCCTCTGACTATAAGGTTACAAAGAAAAAGTTGTAAGATGTCAACAATTGATATGTTGATTTATGTAATTCTTCCACTTTAAAAATCGGCTAATTTTTATGGTTCTCAAAAAAAGCATAACATGATATGTTGACATATCAAGTTGTACCATTCCTAAGAAAATCTTCTATGATAGTGATGCTGAATCTGTTATGTAAACACATCACGTATTGCCGTCTTATTAAAGATGACTAAACTACTGAGATGCGACTAAGCAAGTTGTGTTATAATTATTATTATTTTATCAAGTTTGATTATTTTTCAATATTTACTTTTTTTTTGATGTGTTGCCATTTCGGTACGATTGTACTGAAACGAATGTATCATTTTGACCATTTTAGTATTTTTAAATAAACGTGTTCCACCATCTATTAACAATTACCTTAGAAAGACCTAAAGTGCAGTAAATTATTAAATTAATAGAGTGCATGTAATAGGTTGGCTATGACACATTTAGAAACATTTTTAAAACAAAGGGCTATAAGTTCAAAGAGTCATTAATAGACACGTGCAAAACTTGCGATGAATTTAATGTATTTAAAAGACATGCTACTAGTAAAGCTGACCATGAAGTAATCGGTGAAAACCATAATGTTCACGTTCTAGAGGCACAGGAGGGTTATGACCGTAAACGCGAAGACAAAAAGAATGCCAAAAACACTGATTACCAAAGAGTTTTAGTTTTTGACTTGCAACAAATTTTACCTGTGCCATATCTTGCAACCAATATCGCTAATACAAAAGGCTATTAACTATGTACAACTTAACCATCCGTGATTGTTCACAAGAGAAAGAATCGTCAGACTGTTGTATGTGGAGTGAGCTTCAAGGAGGGAGAGGATCAGATCAGATTGCCTCTTGTATTTTAAAAAAGTTGCTTCAGTTACCAACAAGTGTAGAACAAGTAATTAAGTACTCAGATACGTGTGGCGGCCAGAATAGATACATTAACATGGCAGTTATGTTTATGTATGCTCTAGCCAAAAATGACCATCTTAAGGTTATTGATAAAAGTTTCTCCTACCATGGCATACTCGCCTTGAATGCGACAGTGATCATGCCCGCATTGAACGAGCAAAAAAAGACTTGGTTCTTCAGGATCTTCGAATGCTAATGTAAATAAATTTAGAATTATGATTCCTCGTGATTGGTGTCAGTTTGTAAGAGCTGTCCCTGGCAAAAAAAGGTTTATTGTGATTGAGATGGACTTGACCGATTTCAAAAGCTATTCATCTGTTTTAGTTAAGAATAACGTTTTGGTACATCGTAATCAAGATACTGAAAAAAGCCAGTCGAGTGGCTAAAGATAAAATGGTTGAGATACACTAAAGAATTTGGAATCATTCGTTTCAAATATGATCTGAATCAATTTTCTCCATTTCGAACCCTTAATCTGATTCGCAACAGAAAAGGCCGAAAGATCTGTGAAAAAAACATTGAAGTTTCGAACTTCTATGCCAGTACCCTTGGAGTAAATCCTTTAAAAAAGAAGGACCTCTTATCATTGTTAACGTTAATAGATAAGGAGTTCCATAATTTTTACAAAAAGCTGCCGACAACGCTAACAGCTCCAGAATTCGATGAGCTAAACAATACGCAAGACGACTCCGAGACTGAAGAACAAGTAAACTCCTAGTTCACTCTTTGTACAACTTTTTTTGTTTATTAAAGTTATATTAATTTCATGAGATGTTGAGTTCTTTCCCTAGTAGGCAAACAGCTACCAAAACTTAAATTGTAAGTAGGTATTTGTACAAAAAAACTAACTTTCTGTTTTTTTAGTCGTATTATTGATTTTCCGATTACAAAAACATGGTCAAGTAGAAGATGGCAAAACTTGTTATGTTCAACAACCTTTAATAACTTTGATATTTAACAAAAATTCACTTACATACTTAACTCTTTCAATAATTGGTATTTAAGCTCTAGGAAAATTATAAGATATAAATTGTACGTTAATATTTAGATTTACCAGAGACATTTTATCTTAAAATAGCTCTCCTGTAAACTTAGCGAAACTCGATATATCAAGTTATGGCTTCTTTCCACAGAGTTTTAATACCATACTTAAAATATTTGATATTGTTTGAAACAGGTTTAACAAGTTACATGCCACCGTATTGAACATTTTAATGTCCTCATTGGTTGATAACTTTTTTAAAAGTATTTTTATTACTTTCTTTAACTTCCAAATCAAAATGTGACACTCTAAAATGCGAATTTTGGTTAAAATTTCATTTTTCAAAATGTATGTGAGACTTTACAGAGTAATAATCCCAAACCTCTAAGTATCGACGATCACAATAAATTAATAACAGACTCAGTTAGAAACGCACAACTCAAATTTTGCAAGAAAAATGACACCAAAAGTGAAAAGATTAGCAAAGATACAAGGGCTCTCATGGAAATACGACGAAACCTAAGCGAGAACGAAAAGGGAAACAAAGAAGAATATAAAAAACTAAATAAAAAAATTTCAGCGGAAATTAGAAAAGATGTAAGAAGATATAATACTAATGTAATTACTCAAACAGTAGAAGAGAACAAAGGTTTAAAGATAATGAAAAGAAAACTTACGCAAAGTAAAAAAGAAATATACAAGCTGAGAGATAAAGACGGAAAGGCAACAACAGATAAACAAAACATTTTGAAAATAACTAGAGAATTTTATAAGACCTCTATATCAGCCAAAGACCACAAGACAATTTCCCGACACGAGTAAAGACTCTCATAAATCAGGGATCGGAAATACTTTTACCCATTACTGTGTCAGAAGTAAGGGCAGCTTTAAAGGAAATGAAGAACCATCGATCGCCTGGTGATGATGGACTCGTTATCGAGACAATAAAAGCAGGTGGAGAAATTTTATTAAAATCAGTAAGCGAACTGTTTACTAAATGCTTACATGCGGGTACGATTCCAAAAGACTGGAACAATGCCGTAATAGTCTTGTTACACAAAAAGGGCGATATTACTAAATTAGAAAATTATAGACCCATCAGCCTCTTGACACATATGTACAAACTCTTTATGAAAATCTTAACAAAGAGGCTAACACCTAAACTTGATTTCTATCAGCCCAAAGAACAGGCAGGCTTCAGGGCAGGATATGGCACAAATGACCATTTGCATACCATAAAGATCTTAATAGAAAAGTGCATCGAGTACAACATACCACTGGTTCTCCACTGAAACAATACTGGAAGCCCTAAATCAAAGCCGAATAGATTACAGGTATAGTCGCCTCGTATTTCGGTGAGACTGTGTAAGAATATATTTACCTGTAATAAAAGCAGGCAATAAAAATTAAAATAAAAGTACTCTACCAGGAGTAGTTATTAAGTGCAAAATTATCAATGACTGAGATGAAAAGTTTTAATATCCCCATCGATATTTACATTCAGATGTGCCTGGTATTATGTTTGAAGATATGTACAGTCGCCCAGATAAAGTTATCATCGATGCATTCTTTGCCTAAGATAACAATATTTGCCTGAGCGACCGAAACTATAAGGTAGTTTATCCAAATAAATTTCGTTTTGACCGTCCAGTGGTTTACACTTGGGTAGGTAGGAATAATATTTTACTTTATTTTAAACTTTATTTTTAAACGAAATATTGTTTATTTGGATGAAACCTGGTATGGTACTCATAACACGGTAAAAATAAGTTGGACGAATAATAACAAAAAGTGTTCTAATTCAGTACCGCCCAATAAAGGACAGAATTATAATTTTACACTGCTCCCCAGTTAATTAGAAGAGAAGTCACAAAAATCACAGCAACCAACTGCAAAAATGTAATCAAACATGTAATCAAAGTGGAAAATGACTATGTTAAATATTTATCAGCAATAACCAAATTAACTATAAATTTAGAAGATACAACTGTTACTAGTGATAACAGTGAATCTGAGTAGATTTTAAAGTTGTTATTTCCAACTAGTTGTTAGTTGAAACCTTTATTTTTATTGTAATTGTAGATATTTTCGTTTTGCTTATATATCTTTGAAAATAGAGTACAAATACACTTCATGATAGAACAAAAACGTACAACATATCGTTAGGTTAAAATCTAACGATATATTGTACGTCTCTAAAAATCTAAATTTCAGAGAATTTCATTGGTTGAAAAATGACAGGTATAATTTTCGTACGAAATTAAAAGTCATCGGAAGAAGTAAAAAATATTTTAACTTTTGCACGAAAATCGAATGAATTTTGACATTGTTGACATTTCTAACTTGAACCTTAACCTTTTTTTTTGTGGGGTGTTTATGTTTACTATTTGAAATATATTTAAAATGGTACAAAGACCTAATTATTATATAAATGCAATGAATAAAGTGTTGCTTTTGGGTCTTCTACACTCATCATCATCATCATTAGCCATTTTGCGTCCACTGCTGAACATAGGCCTCCCGTAAATAATTCCATTGCATCCGATCTTGAGCAACTTGAATCCAGTTAGACTGGATGCGCTTTAAATCGTCCGACCACCTTGTTGGAGGACGTCCTCGACTACGATAAGCATCGTGTCTAGGCCTCCACTCTAAAATTTTCTTTGTCCATCTTACATCTCTGACCCTAGCAACATGTCCTGCCCAGTTCCATTTCAGGGTTGTAATTCTTTCAACTGCGTCCGTCACACCAGTTTTTCTCTACACTAGTGAGGCAAAAATTACGAGAACGTAGCTCAATATAATATATATTATATATCAAACAAAACAGCTAACATTTATTGACAGTTCATTGAAATAAATATGAATCCATCAAATAATCTGACACATAACACATATAGGTTAAAAAATTTCGGATACGACAATCAAATATATTCGTACAAAAAAATTTCGTATTTCGTGTCATCGGATATCGGATCTGTGAAAATCCAGTATAATTAAGATTTGTAGTTGTGTTATTAAAACGTTTGTATACTAAAATACTTTTACCTAAAAATTGTTTAATTGTATGTGATAATTACTTTTATTAACAATTTTTTACAGGTATTATTATTTTACAATATGTTCTCTTTAGTGAGCCTATTAGTGTTATCACTCCCTAGATATATCACAGAAGTTAACAACACCAATATTTTTTCTTTAAACTTTATAGAAAATGAAACTTTTTCTTAAATAAAATTAAATAAAAATAAAAACTTTTTTATCTAATTTAAAATTAGATATCTACGCTACTGCTCAACGAAGCAGCGGCCAGTCTAACATTGTTGCCATTTTCTAGGATTTTGCTCGTTCTGGGTCCTATAAATTTTCTCACGAAATTACGTGTCGACTATACACGACACTAATCAAAAACATCTTTCAGAACACTACATCAAGTATACGACTGCACGAAGACACAGAAAAATTCAGCTTAGGTCGAGGAGTTAGACAAGGAGACAATATTTCACCAAAATTGTTTACGGCAGCTCTAGAGTCAATATTTAAGGGTACTCAATGGCAAGATATGGGCATCAATATAGATGGAGAAAGATTAAATCACCTAAGGTTTGCAGATGAGGTTGTATTAATCGCAGATACCTTACATGATACAGTTTCTATGATGCATTCGCTTAAAAGTCTGTCTGAAAGAGCTGGATTAAAGATAAACATTGAGAAAACTAAAATTATAACAAATCTCGTAATGAGTGGAAATATAACTATTGACAATAATATCATACAACAAACAGACACTTACAAATATCTGGGACACGAAATCAAAATAAGCAGAGACAATCAAACACATGAAATACAGAGGCGAATAGGTCTAACATGGGCAGCATTTGGCAAATTAAGCCATATTCTAAAAAGTTCAATTCCCATGTGTCTCAAGCGAAAGGTTTATAACCAATGTGTTTTACCTGCACAAACTTATGATGAAGGAATATGAAGGAATAGAAGATCCAAAGTATAATTTAGATTTAGATAGTCTTATTTTTCTTTACCAGAAAATACTCGATCAAACATTTATAAAGGATCAACATTATTCAATCTAGGATTTTTTTTTTGTTTTTTGGCCCTAGTTTGGAACCTTTAGCCACATAATTACATATTAATATTTGCACTTATTCATTCAGTATTGTACAGGGAGATGACTTTTCACGCTCAGGGATTTATCAGAGCGACTTCATTATAACACACAAGACATAAGTCACGGTTAGATAGGTAAGTAAGAAATAGTTACACAAACAAAAAAAAATATAGGAAATATAATCTTTCTCACCAATGATTAAAATATTTAAATATTTTGCATCATGCATATTACTATTGAACAGTAGGTTCAAAAATATGATAGGCAGATCACATGGAAGATGCCTTCTCAACATTCGCTGAACTGGACGCTCAGCGAAGGTTCCAAGGTTATAGACTATAGAGGATCGGATCAAGTACTTTACCTTGGGGTATGCCAGACTTTATTGGATGTGTAGTTGTGGTTTTGTCTAAATACGTCACTTGAACGTGTCTATTTGAAACGACAATAAAGATGTTGTTCGGTGAGTTTTTTCTTATTTTGTATAATAGTCCATAGTGCCAAACTTTGTCTAAATTACTTTCAGAATTCGTTCTATTTTCTTACATATTTTCTTTTACAGGTAATTTTTATAGCAACTTTGCCAAGGCAAAACTTCCTTGCATATTTGTGTCAAATACCTCAGTCTATTATTCGAAAGTTCTTTATAGTATAATTACCTTTTCTAAGTAATCGGAAAAACATTGACTTGGTCCTCATAAGTTTTTGTCCAGCGACCATTTGGAGTACGTATTGATGGGATTCTAAATTAAGGCTTTTTTGTTTTTTTCAGCTTCTTTGCAAAATTTTCTTTATATTTTTTATTTTTTGGCTATTTTTTTGTTTAATTATCGAATGAAGTTATTGAGGTTTGCTAGTTGACACTTGGCTTGGAGTTGTGTCCTATATCGCTTTCTGTATCAATCTGTAAAATGTGTCACCGTGTTTTTTGTATCAACATTGGTTTTAAGATGAATATAGAAATCCAACATGGTATCCATATTTTCACAAAATTTATTCTAATTAGCGTACTTGTTTCCTAAGTTTGGAGCTGGTTCTTTTTGTGTTACGTCAGTGCTGGTTATGTTTAGAATTGCAGACTGATCAGACGAAAATTCAAGACAAGAGTTTGTCAACACGCAATTTTTGGGCATTCCCTTGTAAATTAAGAAGTCAATAAGATCAAGGATTTAAGTTCTGTCGGTTAGCCAATAGGTTGGTTCACCTATTGATATGAATTCAAGACTTTTGTTTTCTGTTATTTTTAATAGTTTTCTACCTTTTGGTGTTATCAATCTAGAGTATAATCTTATTGGAAGGTAAAGTGCAGGACAAAAGATCAGTTGCAAGACGTCAGAACTCGTGACTGAAAGCCCTGAGGAGATGATTTTACTGCTCATCCACAGAAATCTTTGGTGCAGCAGTTTTCAAAGCTACAGTTGCGATTTGGATCACCAACCTTTGAAAGGAGATGGCACAATAAAAAAAATTTCTAGAGCCTTATTGTGTATGGTTGGTAGTATAATCATTAGTTACAATAAATCTGTTGCCAAGTATACTAAACAGCTACTTATATTGTTCGGTTTTGTTGGACTATGTGTGAAGAACACATGACAAATACACAATTCGGCTTCAGGGATGCATTGTCTACTCGAGAGGCACTTTTTTAATACAAGTTCTCTTTCAAAGATGTAGAGATGTGAATTGTGATATATGTGTGTTTTGTTGATTATCATAAAGCGTTCGATAGAACAAAACATGACGAACTGATGTTGGTCTAGACAACAGAAATCGCCGTATAATAAACAATATCTATTACGAACAATCTGCGGCTGTTAGAGTTGGGGATCAGTTAACAGACGACATAAAGATAAACACAGGTGTGCGACAGGAATGTATATCGTCCCCCTTTATTGTTCAATACATATTCAGAGCACATTGTAAACCTAGCGCTAACAAACATAGACGAGGGAATACTTATAAACGGAGTATACAACATAAGATACGCTGATGATACTGTTATTTTTGCAGACAGTTTTGAATGTCTGCAGACACTTGTCTCCAGGGTGGCAGAAGTAAGTAGCAGGTTTGGGCTTGATTTTAACATTAAAAAAACCAAATACATGGTTATAAGCAAAAATAGGATACCACCTGGTCAATTACTAGGTAACCAACAACTCTGTTATCTGGGTGCAAACTTAAATGAACAGTGGGACCAATTGACGAAAATTAACATAAGGATCGAGAAGGTATAGTTGTTTGTATGTGATCTTCTAAATACTGGTTTAGTTCGTGATGCAGTATTTTTCACCCAATAATAATTGCGGTTTCTCCGTGTGCCGTGCGACCAAGATGATTTAAGCTGTACAGCTACTTTAAGCAACTTGGCTAGGCCGGAAACCTGGCCTAGCTTGAGAACATTGAAATAAAAACTTACTGATCTAATTATTATAATTTAAATGATTTGATATTATAAAATATATCAAAATTCCTCAATAAAGAGATTTTCTTGATCCATATTTTTTATTACTTACCTCAATAATTCGAACCAAGCATTGAACACTGCATATATTGCCAACTCCCATTTGAATACTGAACCTATAGCCCATAGAAGAGAAGGCTGTTTCTTTTTAAGCTGTTTTGTCCAAGCTTGTTCAAGTTTCGTACCAAGATATAAAGATTTTTGTTTTTCGACAGTGAGGTACATATCGTCTTCGGTGACTTCATTTTTAAGTCCTCTAAAGAGGTAGACTGGTAACCAACTGGAATCAAATAAAGAAAGCAGGTTAATTGGGCAATTGGTAATAATGAACGATAGAAAATGAAAATATTGAGCAACTGATTTGTTCGTACGAGATAAATTGAGGCTATGAGAGAAAGAGTGGTGTAAACCTGTAGCATTTGCAATTCATTGATTTTTTGGTGTATTTTGAAATCCCTTCGTATACGTAATATATTAAAATTGCAGATAAGCAGATTGAAGTTTAGTGAGGTTCAGGTAACTGTTTCTATGTCTAAAATTTAAAGTCAAAATAAACATTAAAAAAAAATAATTGTTTTCATTGTTTAAAATGATAATTTTTTTATTTGTAATAATTTTTATATTGATCGCAGTTTATACGTCAGTAACATTTGTAAGTTTTTGTAGCATCTCCTGAGTTTGTAAATCAGTAGAACACATGTAAGTTTTCTTTATTATTTTGGTAAGAATCTCTGTAAATAATATAGCATTTTTTTTGTGCTGTCTGTATTTGTATAACTGTTTGTGGTGTGACACAAAAATAAATGTTAAATTTTGTTTTCTTAACATTTTGTTTATTTTTTTAACTAACCCTTTTTTGAGTTTTATTTGAAAAAGATATGTTTTTTATGTTTAGGAATTATTTTCCTATTTACAACTAGGGGTTGTAATCGGTATAATTAGGCACCTCAAAGTGGCGCTCTATATTAAATTACTAGAGGTGTTTCCTGTTTTTTTTTGTTTTGTTTGTCCCAAGAGATTTGTATAAATACCCCTTTATTTCATTTTTTTGTAGTTGCCCCAATCCAACCCCCTTATCTTTTACTTATCCACGACCCCAGCTCCTCTACCAAACCCTGAGTGCCGTTCGCATATGTTTCGTTTATTTTGCTTGCCCTATCTTCACCCCCATAGTTTCCGTCCCCAATTTTTTACCCCATAATCTTACCCCGTGTGGTAGGCAAAATATTTTCGTTACAAACCCAAATAATATATAATGGATTTACATGAACCAAGAATATATCCGTTGTTTTGAAATATAATAAAATTTAAATATGATGTCAAAAGGTAGTCTTTGATTACAATTCATTAACTAGTAAAAAACTCAAAGATCGTGCAATATATTTAACAAAAATATAAACATTTTAGCTTTTTTCGGGGTTAGATCCCTTTTGCCTTGGAGTGCCCTTAAAAATTTTGATAGTAGTGTGGATTAGACCTAGAGTAAAATAGATAAACAGACCTAAAGATAAATAGACCTAAAGTAAAAAAGATAAATAGATTTTCGATAAACTTTGCTCTACAAAACAAGCTCAAGGAAGTCACTGATTTACTATTAAACTTGTTCATAATTTAGTGTCCAGTGTTCTTTATAATTATACCTGTTATATCAGTGTTCATGTGTATTTTATTTTTTATTACGTAAGACTTTTGTTTTACTTTGATTTTAGTAAATTAGTCAATGTTGTTGATGTTTTTTTTGAATAGGCTCACGACCCCTATATTAATACCGCGCCTTCCTAGGGGGGCTCGCCCCACAGGTTGAGAATCACTGCCCTAATGCATGTCAATGCGTTGCATTTGCATTTAATACATCCGTACTTGGATTATTCTTTTAAATTATTCAACCTTAGTCCACCTGTTTGTACACATTTTATAGTCTGTACCAGCCACGGGGTGCAGGTAGGCCAGTGATCAGTTTGCAAATCTCAGCGGGTCTATCTTAAAATCCTTGGTTTTATCGCGTTGATGAGTTTGTACTATCTGCGCGGGCATTTTATACTAATTGATGATGAGTTTACATGTACCCACTTAAAGAACCGTACTAAAAACGAATAAACTAGTACTCTTAGCTGAAAATAGATACGATTCAGATTCAGTCATTTACAACTTGTATTTAAGACAAAATACATCGAAGAAGAAAACGTTCTCGTTTGTATAAGTTCAAATGATAATGGTGTTTTCAATATTGACACGTGGATTTGATGGAAATACAGCTAATCATACGTTTACATTTTAAATTATTTATAAAGTAGCATCTTTATGATAAAATATGTTTTATTAATAGAACACTTAATCCTAATAAAACATATTTCCTTATTACTGTGAAATCATGTGTAAATCTGACTTAAAATGTAAACAGATCTAATACATTGAGCTCGTTTATCAACAGAATTTATTCAAAATGACGATAATGGAATAATTTGCAACAATTACAAAATTTTTGAATAATTAATTTGTAAATATTTGTAACAATTATTTGATCTCGAGACCTTAAAGACATTGACAACATTGCACACACTTTTTTGGTAAACTATGTTTTGTTTTTATTATCTACTATCATTATCTTGCTCTTCTTTTCGATTATTTCCGTATTCATATTTTTTATCTATTCCGTCCAAATATCTGCCAATCGTTTTAGTTTTTTGAAATTTTCTTCAAAAATAACTAGGTCGTCTGCGTAAATTAGTGCGTCTGCTTGCATTGGTTCTATTATAATATAACGAGACTACCTTGGGAAGAAGATTGTGTCAACTCAACAATTGGTAATTTTTAGTTCTTGTTCTTCGTTGTTTTCTGTTTTTTAATATGCCTCTACTAAGTTGTCGTCCCATCGTTTTCGTGGTCTTCCTACTGATCGTCTTTTTTATTGGAGAACTGTCTCTTGCTGTCTCTACTACTTGATATGTTATCATTTGGCTTAGATAATCGTTCCACTATACTCTTCTATTTCTTACCTAGTGCTTATTGTTCTCAACATTGCATCTACGTCGTATATCTGTACTTCTAGCTCTGTCCCATTCCTACTCTGTTGTACGATAAATTTTAAAGGTTGCAGATAAAGTTAAGTTTGATCGAAACGTGTCTTCAATGTCATTAAAGAGAATAAAAGTACCCACACATTATTCGCACCTAAAACAAATCAAAATCGTTCAAAATTAATAGATGCTTTAGGTTGTAATACATGAGGCGACTCCGCTGTCACCACTGAAATACTTTATAGACCCTCAAGGGATGCTAACCCTGCGAGCGGCTGCTAGGCTTACTGGCCCCACCGGTCCGAACTGACTGAGTTGAGGTTATGGGCTTACTTTAGAAGCCGGAGATATGTATAAGCAGAATCTTGTACTCTCCTAGTCTCTGTCTGAATCGGCCGAAAGGAACATTAAAACCAAATTAGAGTGTACAATATATTGAATATACCCTGTGGTTTACAAATACAATCGTTAATAAGTCATTCGGCGCGCCGGGAGACGAGAAGCAAGAGAGTGAAGAATTGACAGTTGTACTATTATAATTACTCAGGTTAGTATATAGAAATCTGTTACCTTATGTGTAGTTAGACTTTCAACAACGACACGTCTTCGGTCCTCTGGAGTTCGGTCAGTTGAGGGGACTCCTCCGTTGTTACGAACTTCACCACTAACCTGATTTATACGAGATACTATGTCGCGTGTTAACTACTCCCTGGAGACATACCGACTGCCTGGCTACCGTCGTTTTTTCTTGTTTTATTGTGCTCGTACTTTCAACGCCGGTTCTAGTACCAAGGTCGTGTTTTCGCTGAATTGTGGGTCCTATATTGCATTACAATAACAGTTTCTGTTTGACGTGCTTTTTTTACGTTAAACAATTAACAAACAATGCACTAACTAGGTCAATTTCTTTGTGTAACCTAAATGTATACTTTACTGTATTAATTCTCCCTTATTAAATTTGGAATATATAATAATTATCTCGAATAATTATTATCTTTTCTATGCTACTTAGCCCTTTATTCCAACTCCCCACTCACTTGCTACGCTCACATTACAAGGTGATTTTCATAAGTCAGCTATAAGAAGAAAGGTTCATCAATATTTTTTCCGTAATGAAGTTCCTACAATGGACAAAGTTTTGAGAGATGTAAATAATGATAATTCTTTTTCTTTTTTCTTGGATGTAGGCTTTAAAGCCTGTTTCTTCTTAAATATTAGCCTCCTAAATTGTTTAAATTATCGCACAATCGTTTTCTTGGTCATCAATCCTTCTTTATCCATTTGGTGACTTATCTCGTGCTATTTGTAATATCCTATCCTCTGCTATTCTACTAATGTGTTGGTTCCACTCCTGTTTCCGTTTTGTCACCCATCCATTTATGTCTTCTATATTGCATGCTTTTCTTATGTTTTAACTTCTCTTTCTATCCAATAGACTTTTCCTTAATATTCGTCGAAGTATTTTCATCTCTGTTGTTTCTAGTAATAGTTTTAGATGTGTTAGGTCTTGTTTCCGCCGTATATGTTAATATAGGTCCATGATACTATAACAACAACATATGCTCACTTGCCGTTCTAATTTTAATCGACTTTGCGCATGACGTCATAGCGAGACAAAGCCATGGGATTTGTGTGTATCATATTTTAACGATACATCATATGGCAACGTTGTTCCATTATTGTAATGAACAATTTTGAAACTTAAACTGTTAACGCTAAGTATACCTCGATGCCATATCTTGCACTAAGAAGTCATAATTAGTTACTTCTGTTAAAACGTGTTTTGAAAATTAATAAGTAATTTGTAAAATGTCGGTCAGATAGCTCAGCGAGCTGTGCGGCTGCCTCTCATTCGCTTCACTGTCGAATGGTTTAGTGGATGTGGGATCGAGCCCAAGCTCGGTGTACAGAAAACAAAAAGTCTAACGCAGCAGTTTAAAATTCTAGATGAATCTGCGGCTTAGACTAGGATATGCTGGGATCTGATCGGCCTATGGTGGAGCAGTACGGCAAGAGATAAGGGCTTGCGGCTTGGTGATACTCCTCCATAGATCCCTACCGGACGGGCGTAACGCCTAAAAAACCGGATATATATATATAATTTGTAAAATGAATTAAAGAAATATATGAATCTACAATTTGATTGTGTGTATTACAAACAAAATTAATATTGCTACAAAACATAAATTAATTATAAAAGGCCGGTAAAATGTAAAGAATTTGACCATAAAGGAAAAGCGGGTCATACTTGAGACTTTATGAA